TACCGGTGTTTCTAAATCAGAACCAACTCTTAAAGTGCTCGAATTAATCTGAGAAGTTTCCAGAACCTGGATTAAATGCAAAAACACAGAGTTTCTAAATAAGTTTTGATTTGTGTTATGTTCATTTTAGATATCTTAAAAAAAAAAGTGGATCATCCGAAGCTTAAGGGGAAACAAAAGGTGTGTACATTTAAGGGTTATCGGATAGTTTTTTTATTTAAAACTTATTTAAATTAGTATTAAGCATCTAGTATTCTAGTGCTTTTTATCCCCTGGTAATGTTGATCTGGTAGTTGTGTTAATTTAGTATTCTAGTGATTTTGTAAGATACTGTGTGAACTGTAGTATATGTTGTGTGTAATATGTGTTATGTTGTGCTGATGGGACCTTTAATTTCCCCTTGGGGATCAAAAAGTATCGATCTAAAAGGCTTCCTCAGACCTGTAAAAGTCGTAAACGTTTCCATTTTGTGTCATATTTGTGTTTCTGGGTTCCCGTTTCAGTGGTGGAGGAGGCGAAGCCCCTCAGGCGTCTGCATGTCGGGGCGCTGCTGGAGACTCAGAGGCTGAGGGGGGGCCAGCAGGACCCCCAGACCCCCCCGGGGGGGACCCCCAGAACCAGGGGACCGGAGGGCCTCTCTGAAGCTTGAACCGTCTTTAAACACAGAAACAGGTTAAATAAAATGTTGGGAATCGTCTGTATTTGTGTTGACGTGTCGAATGTTTTTAGTATAATTAGAAGCTTCCATTTAACGGGTTGTTTTAAAAATGAGGTTTTAACCAGAGGACTATGCATCCTGCATTCAGGAGTAAAGGAGTTTCTCCTCGTGTGTGAGAAGACTTTCAGGATGTTCAGGAAAAATAAATAAAATACAGTCTGGGAAAAGAGTCCCGTGCCTGGTGGAGCTCTGGCCTTTACCGCCCTCTGAACGGTCAATTACCTCCCTCTTTCACAAACAGGAACTCTTCATCAGGCCAAATATAACCTTTTAAAAATACAGAATCATTAATCAGAGTTTAAATCCACCTCGGAGTTAAGGGTCAGGGTAAAAGCCACACGCCCACACAGAAAAGCTGTATAAAAAGTTTTAAT